CTCGTGATCCACCTGCCTCGGCCTCCCAAAGTGCTGGGATAACAGGCTTGAGCCACCGCGCCCGGCCCCACTGTCTTCATTTCTTTTCCTCCCTCCCTCTCCCCTCTCCCTCCCTTCCTTCTGGTCTTTTCTTTCCCTCCCTCCCTCCCTCCCTCCCTCCCTTCCTTTTGGAGATGGGGTCTTGCTCTTTTATCCAGGCTGCTACAGTGGTATGAGCATGGCTCACTGTAGCCTCAAACTCACAGGCTCAAGCCCTCTCCCACCTCAGACTCCTGAGTAGCTGGGAGTACAGGTACATGCCACCAAGCCCAGCCAATTTTTAAAATCTTTTGTAGAGATGGGGGTCTCACTGTGTTGCCCAGGGTGGTCTAAAGCTCTTGGGCTCCCAAACTGCTGGGATTACAGCCATGAGCCACTGTGCCCAGCCTGGGTCTTTTTTTCCCAACTCATGACTACTTTTGTGCCAGTAAAACTTATTTTAAACAAACTGGCATGCTTTTCTCCTGTGAATGTGACTTTTGTCAGAATAACGAGTTATGGGGTTCCCGTAACTGCTAAGATGGGTAGCAGGAAAGGGTGTCTTTCTTCCCTACAGAGGATTGCTCAATATGACTACACTCTCTGGTCTGTTCGTTGGTGCTTATCTGGAAGAGAACACAGGTGTGTTATCTTCCTGACAGGAGGCAGTGGTGCGAACCAGAGCTGGGTCCTTCTCCTCCCCGGGGGACTGGGAGCAGCATCCCATTTGAAAAGATCGTGCTCGATGACTTAGAAGAAGACCTGAGTGGTTTTAGGGTTCTTTTGAGGCATCAGTTTTCTTAGCATTGCCGGCATTTTGAGATGCTCTTATGGAGTTGTTTTTCAGTCACCTGTGCTTAGCCACCCTGAGCATCTGACCCATCACAAAGCGCCTGCAGGATCACACTCTACAACTGCTCAGTTTGTATCATATATACTTGGCATCCTACAGTGATTTGGGAGAAATACTGAGAGCCCCTTTCTAGATGAGAGAGCTGAGGGTCTGCGGGCTGGGACCGGGATGACGTCCCCAAATCTAGAGAGACCCTCCATTACCCTGCCTCCCGGTCCAGCTGCGCCTGAGAGACTAGCCGGGCCAGCCCCGACCAAACCCACCTCTTCTGCCCTTAGACAGTGGGGCCTGGCTGTGCCTCCTGCAGCAGCCGCAAGGACCCCCTCTCTTGCCCTGCCGTGCCAGGTGGCAACAACATGAGGGTGGGTGCACGCCACCTCAGCCACCCCAGAGCCTAACCCTGGGCCAGTAGCTGGGGAACAGCATTTGAAGACCAGGCTCCCCACCCCCGCCCCGAGGCAGCTACTCACAGGTGATCCCAAGAATCTGCTCGTAGGCCTGGAAGGTCAGCAGTGGCTGGGGCAGCTCTCGAAGGAAGGTCTTCAGGATCACGGCAGGGATGTGAATGTCCCCATAGTCGTCAAAGTTCACGGGCTTCCCTGCACACAGAACACAGCACCGCTGAGGTCTGCACCCCGGCCTGGGCACTGTCGCTGCAGAATGAGCTCTGGGACATGTGGTGTGACATGTCCAGATGGGAAGCACCTGATGCTGTCCCCACCTAGAAATGGGGGTGCTCTGGCCCCATCAGTACTGATACCGCCCTCACCGCCTCCTCGTGGGCTCCCAGTGGAGGCTGGGGTGGGCTGCTGGCTTCTCTGTGGCATGCTGTGGCTCCTGGCTACAATGCCAGCTCCTTGAGGCCAGGCCCTAGGCCTGAGACAGGCAGGCCTGAGCTCAGCCCCATGCCCTCCATGACTGTATAATGCACAATCAACTGTGGGAGCGAGCAGGACAGAGCACAAATCTCGCCAGCAAGACAGCAGCTTCATCAGTGTCAGTGCAATGCGTCCTCAGCTCAGGCCACTGCCCCTGCCCGCAGGTTACACATGGCAGTTAAGGAAGCCAGGCTGAGCCAGTTCGGGGGAGCTGTCAGACAAAATACCAGCTTCCCTGCAATGCAGCGTGTCTCCTGAAAGCTCGTGCCCGCCTGGTGCAGATGGAGAGAACCTAAGGGCAAAATGGCATCGTGCAGCCACCTTGTCCCAGCAGGGCCTGGGGGTCTGGACAAAGGGTCCCCACTCTGGACTACCAGTGGGCTCCTCGGTGGCTCCTGGGCAGCTGCCCCTGCCCTGAGCATTTTCTGGGAGTTGGATGGGTTTCAGGGGTGCTACACTGCCTCTGCTCTGAGGCCCAGGAGCCCTGTGGTCGCTGGCCGGGCAGTGGTTTGGGGCTCAGGCTGCGGGGCGCCCTCACCGTGGTTGTAGAGCCTCTGAATCTCGCGGACGGTCTGCACGCTGGCGGATCTGCGGAAGAGGCCCTCGGTGCGCAGGCCTGCGGGAGAGGAGCTTCCGGGTAATTCACGAATCCCAGCCCATTGGAATTCCAGAACGTTCTATGACGCCCCCCTTGCCCGCCGCATCACCCAGCTGTGCTGCTCTCCGGCCTTCCCCTCACTACAGCTTACCCCCACCTTTATTTATTCCTCAAATCTTTTCCATATTCCCCAGCCCAGCTGGTTTCCCACCTCTGTGGTCCATGGAAAGGGAAGGTGGAAAGAGACAGATTCTGAACTCGGACAGTCCAGCTCTGCCTACCAGCTGTGTAACCTCAGAGAAGACACTCACCCTCTCTGAGCCTATCTGCCTTGTTTATCTACAGAGTGAGGCTACGAGCTCCTGTCTCCAAGGGCTGCAGAGGACTGGACAAGGTGATCCCTGATACGTGCCTGGCACCCAGAGGCCTCCAGACATGCGGCTTCCCAGGAGGGCGAGGGCTGAGCTGCCCAGCACAGCAGCCACTGGCTGTACATGGGGATTTAACTGAAAATTAAAAATCCAGTCACTCAATTACATGAGCCTCGTGTGAACTGCTCTACTGGGCTCCTCCACAGTGGCTGGTGGCTGCTGTTTAGACGGTGCAGATAGAGGTGATGGCAAGTTCTACTGGGCAATTCTGATAGAGTTGACTGTGGGCCGGGCGCGGTGGCTCACACCTGTAATCCCAACACCTGGGAGGCCAAGGCGGGCAGATCACTTGAGGTCAGGAGTTTGAGACCAGCCTGGCCAACATGGTAAAAACCCATCTCTATTAAAAATACAAAAAATACTAGCTGTGAGGCCGGGCGCGGTGGCTCACGCCTGTAATCCCAACACCTGGGAGGCCGAGGCGGGCAGATCACTTGAGGTCAGGAGTTTGAGACCAGCCTGGCCAACATGGTAAAAACCCATCTCTACTAAAAATACAAAAAATACTAGCTGTGAGGCCGGGCGCGGTGGCTCACACCTGTAATCCCAGCACTTTGGGAG